ATTCATGCACCTAGGCCTGGCCAGCGATCCCTAGGCCTGGCCAGTGATCGAAGTGTGAGCATATGGCATAGAAGGGCAGGTTCCGGCTGACCTCTGGGCCCTGGGCAGTATCTGGGACCCTGGGCCCCCACGCACCCCCCTCCGTCTGAGTCACAGCACCCAAGTCCCCACATGGAGATATGGTGAGCGCAACCAGACGCCATGGGCCGGGGCACAGCGTGGGCCTCTGGGCCACCCAGCGGCGCCACACGGAATCCAGGAGGGCAGCATGCTCTCTCCCGGCCGACTCCTGCCTTGTTACGTGCTGTCCCCCAGTGGTCAGCATACGTCATAGCGAGCAGTCGAATTCCCGGTTGACCGCCCACCTGAGGGGACAATTTGCATATTAGGCTTTTATTGTATAGGATTTCTACCTACCCTTTAAATTCTTCTCGCCTAAAGGTGAATTTATGAGCTCCCTGCCATTGTTACCTACTCTTTTTTCTTCCAACACACTTTGTCTAGTGAGTCCATCTAGAAACCCAGTGAGATGAACATTCACTCAGATGCACGATATTTTCCTAATTGCCATCAAATACCTCTTGGTTTTGCTTCTTATTTTTTAGTCCCACCACTAAGATCTAGTTTACACTCTACATACTTTTTTGCTCTTTCTCTTTGCCTCTCATTTCTCCTTTTAAGTTTTATCAGCACTTTTCAGGTTAAGTTTCCTACAAAAGTAGTTTTTGTTTTTATCTTTTAGTCATGTGTTCTTTTATTAGTCTACTTATTTATTCATTATATTGTATATTCAACGAATATTAAGTGCCAATCAGTGCCTCTTAAGAATGTAAATGTGGCCCTGGTCGGTGGCTGGGTTGGTTGGAGCATTGTCCCATTTGTGGGTTCAATTTCCCGTCCGGGGGTATATCCAAGTTGTGGGTTCCATCCCTGGTTGGGGCACATACCTAGGTTGTGGGTTTGATTCCTGGTCTGATCAACGTTTCTCTCTCACATTGATGTTTCTCTCTCTCTCTCTCTCTCTCTCTCTCTCTCTGCCCTGAATCCTCTCTCTCTAAAAATCAATAAAAACATATCCTTGGGTGATAATTAAAAAAATAACATAAATGTGAACACAACAGACCTGGATTCTCCCTCACAAAATGGATAGTGTAGCAGGAAAGACAGACACCAGCAAATACATAGAAAATAAGTGAATTACACTGTGACAAGTGCTCCAAAGGTTCTCTCCCCTCCCTGAGCTCCTCTGGTGAGGGCTCTCACTAGTGTGCAGTGAGGGAGTGAGGGCCCGGAGGCTGTAAATGGCCAGAGCATTTCCACCAGTGAAGCTGAGGCTGCTGAGAGTATTTTAGGTGGTGGGAGGGCCACAGCCAAGGAAGGATGCAGCCGGTATCTGGTAAATGTTGAGTAACGTGGCTGTGTGAGTAGGATGTGTGTGAGAGAGAGAAGTGGAAGTGAGGGAATACGAATGGACGGCAGTGGGCGCTGTCTCCTGTGCTACTCAGTTATTCTCATAGGGCAGGTGGTGTTGCCTTGTTTTTCAGAGGAAAAATCCGAGGCTCAGAAAGGTTCATTCTCTGGACGTGGAGCTGGACCCAAGTGCATTCACAGCTCTGACCCAACCTTGGGCTATGACTGTTCATGCCCACCCAGGCTCCTGTGTGTTAGTGAGGAGCGCACGGGTCTTCCCAGGACACCAGCCTCACCAGCCCTGCTGAGGCTCCTACTCCCTCTGCAAATGCTGCCTTTATGACACTGGACCTGCAATCCTTGAGGACAAGGAACTGGCATCCTTGCATTTTCTCAGGGTTCCTAGCGCCTCGTCCTGCTGTGGGGAGACACTGTATAAATAGTTGTGAATATCTTTGCTAACATCTTTCCATCATGCCTCCTACTGAAGTTTACATTAGAACCACTCGACCGCAGGTGCCTTCACTGAAAACAATCCCAGGTACAGGACTGTGCTGCTGGGTGTTGAACAGTTTCCTCAGTGCCCTCTGTTCCCTTTTTAAGGTTCACATGTGCACCAGACAAACAAGAAATGTATCAGCAGTGCTCTGTGACCACAACAAAAGTTGGAAATTAACAAGCAGCTCAGGTCATTCAGATGTGCAGCCAGGTGTGGGACTTCATCCTGTGGTTAGGTCTGTCTATGGAAATTTTGGGGAGATTTGGATACTCAGGATGTATTAAATAACAGTGGCTTCTAGAAGAGACCTGTTCCTAGCCTTCCCCTCCCCTTTATACTAGTAAGGAGGCAAATTTGAACACCTGAAACAATAATTACTTGGGGGTGGGGTAGCAAGATGGAGTGTCAGGGTGAACAAATGTAGATTTCTGATAGAATGTAATAAAAAAAGGAACTAGTGCAAGGAGAAGTGGTGCCTTGAATTCAAGTGTGTGAGCGAGAAAGACAGAATGACAAAGACTGGGAGGAAAGTGACAGAAGGAGAGAGATCAGGCTCTTATTTCAAGAGTGTAGAAGCAAAATGCTGCTTTGTGCAGCATGCCCAGGTGTCGTGCTGCAAACGAAATGCTGTACTTCTCCACGTCTCCAGGATTTTTGCAGCCACTGCTAATTAGGACCAGAATATTGTGTGTGTTTCCTGGGCGGTGTTCTTTTCTCAGGCAAGCTCCTTAGGATTAGATGCTGTTAGGAAGGGAAAGCACCTGGCAGGGGCAACATGTAGAAATGATAAGAAAAGAAGATGGACTGAAGGATAGAGCTGGGGATTATCCCAAGAAGATGAAAGAGTATAAGATCTGAGAGAGAAATTTAGTAGAAAAGTTCAAAACCAGGTGTAAGAGAGAACACATCCCGGACTGTATGACTTTGGCTGAGGAATGTGGTTAGCAGTATGTGCATGTTGTTTGCTGTGACTGAATGATCTCCCTCCCCAGGAGGGAGAAACATCTCTTGAATTCACTGTTTGTGGGCAGGGAGGGCTGGGGCGCTCCAGGAGGGAAGTTAGTGTCAGACAGAACATGTTTGCACTTCCAGCTATTTACCTCCCAATGAGACCTGCATGCTATATTGGAAACAAATATACATGCATCTTACACAGTCGTGTTGGAAGTAAATGAAACACTTTTATAAAAGTAGTTGTGTCCTGGGAAGATTTTTTTTATAAATATAAAATATTTAATGATGCTGTATAGAGAAAACCAAACTTACTAAAAAATAACATTTTCCTTAAGGAAAAATACAACTAGATCATATGTAAATATGATGTGAAATTAACACCAGGCTAAATTTTAAACAGTGAAAAGTTTTCAATGGTCAAAACTTACTCTGTAGGGGTCGCCCACATCAACTGCTTCTATTAAGACTTCAGGTTAGTTGACACTTTTAATAACTTTAGCAAGTTCCAAACTGGAAAAACCAGGTGTTGCCAGTGGAGGTTGAGGTGAACTGAAAGGTGGGCGGGTGCCACCACGGCCAGCCAGCATAGAGATGCTGTGGTTAGTGCACTTCCTGGACCCGCAGTGCAGCCCTGCGCCTGCAGACAAGGGCTTCACAGTGCACTTTTCTGTTTTTCAGGATGAGTCTTCAAGCCATGAATGTAACCAGCGCACAGTTCTTCTGTATGGTGTGGGCAAAGCACGAGATGAAGCGAGGCATCAGCTGAAGAAGATTACCAGAGATATTTTGAAAATCCTAAATAAGAAGAGCACCACAGAGATGGGGGGTAAAGAGCCCGAATGCACTTGCTCCCATTGTGCTGGCTTATGTCCTCCCCCTTAGCGCCGTCTTTATCAAGTTTGTAGATGGCAGTGTCCCCAGTGTTTCCTCTCCTGAATGACTGTCACATTGAAATATGAATAAGCACATTGAAATTTTAAGGCCTTGGTTCCATTTATAGTAATCCGTGTATTAAAATAGCACGTTTTATGAGTAGATGTAGGTAGTTTTTATTTTCTACTTTTTTTTACTTCCCGAATTTTCTACAGTAGTCAAAAATGAAGTATTGAAGAATGAGTTGGAAACCCCTTACTTTGGAAGTGATTCCCCTATTCTTTACCAGCCTTTTTCAAGCTTGTAGTTTGCTCTGGGTACTTATATTGCATGATAACTGAAAGTCATGACAGTGTAGTTGCTGATCTTTTCTTACATTATTCAGAGGAATAATCGCAATAGGTAATGGTGGCTACCGATATCACCAAATATTTACAAGTGAAAAAGAAAATTAGGCCTTTGCTCTATAATGCCTTCTTTACTTGGAATACTCTTTCCCCTGGCCTTTTACATAGTTTTAACAGTGAAGCTACACCTTTACATTATGTCACTACATTGCATAATTGAAATTTTGTAATTATCCACTTTACATTTCCCTAATTACTCTTTTCAAGGTTTGTTTATTTTATTAAGTAGTCATGATTTAAAATATGATATAGTATATACTCCACTACCACCAGTGGTATTTCTTTTCTACTACTTAAATAATACAAGGGGGGAGGTTTCAATTTTCCCTATGCAAACAGCACACTTCCTGCACTTGGTATAAGCCACCTCTAGAAACCCTACTTTGATGTTCAGTATGAAATAAATACTCTTTTATGAACCCCTCCACAGGGGATCCTTTAGACTTTAAGCAGATGAATTTCTAGAGCTTGTCCATGCTAGATCTTTCCTACAGGAAAGTGCAGATATAACTAATGCAAATAGCTCTCTTTCCTCTCCATCAATAGAGGGGCACAGGCAGAAACAAGGTACAAGGCTCTCTTTTCACTCTGAATGTCATGTTGCCACTGTATTAGTCACTGGCTAGTCCTCAGAGCACACACAATGGAAAATCGACCTTCATGTGATTTGCATCATGTTCCCTAACTTCCTTCTATTGCTGGTTAAGGACCTTGCACTTCACCAGCTTGCCAGGGGATAGCCAAGAGTCCTGGAAGGGAAATGAAACCCTGTTGTTGTTGGTTTGTCCTTATTGAGCTTGCAAAGAACACAATTGCTAAGAAAAACTGTTGATCTGTCCCTTTGCTTTTTTCTCTTTTTTTAAGAAAGAGGAAATGGGTTGCATTTAGAAGGTTGGATTTAGAAGCCGTGTTAAATAGGGAGCAGAGACTACTGAAACTCCTCTTTGTGTACTTGAGAATGGGGTGGACACTATCTCAGTTCAAAGGTTCAGTAATACATTTTTTTTTAAATTTTAAATTAATTTTAGAGTCTTTCCAGATCCTATGGAATTTTTGGTTTTTGGAAAACTGAGAGGGTAGGAAGAGGAAGGAAGCAATGTGGTATCTTTTTCTGTTGAGTCTACTTCCTTCCTTCATAGTTTTTTATGCCAGACTATAGTCTCTGCTATCTTTGTATCAGTTTCTTAAATAGGCAAGTCTTGCTTATGAACTCACAGAGACAACTGTTGTTCATGCTGCTTTTTGAGATACCACTGTGAAGAGGCATCTTCAAAGTGGATTTTTGTCTTTCCCTCATTTTAAAATTCCTCACCCAGAAATGTTTAATTAGATCTATCTTTTGATAGTCCACATTTAAGTCACTACTTAAAACCTAGTGTGCTCACCAGAAGCTAGCTAACTATTCTTAGATTAAGGAAATTTGCGCGCTTTTGTCAGTGAAGATGAGCATTGATAAGGCAGGAAAAGGGAGCTTGTGTAAGCATGTATTTGATTTCTGGCTACACTAAAAACATGATTTTTAGGAACTCCATTAGGAGTGTTATCACATCAACCAGGCTTTATCTAGGGGCATTTATAATCTAAAACTTTTATGACATTTCCAGTTGAAGGTGGTCAAACCTATTTTACATTTATATGACTAGTCCAGTGGTTCTCAACCTTCTGGCCCTTTAAATACAGTTCCTCATGTTGTGACCCCCAACCATAAAATTATTTTCGTTTCTACTTCATAACTGTAATTTTGCTACTGTTATGAATCGTAATGTAAATATCTGATATGCAGGATGGTCTTAGGGGTCGCGACCCACAGGTTGAGAACCGCTGGACTAGTCCGTCATCTTTGTGTTTCAATGGTGCATCTTTTGAAAATATTAATGAGGTTTATCAAACTAGAAGGCCAAAACTTGCAGGGTTTAAAGATTTTGAAAAAAAGACAACCAAAATTAAGCAACTAAAGAATAATAATATCTATTACTATGAATTATGACTGTTATCATGTGAATATTAAAATAAAGTATTACATTGAAAACCACCACTAATATTTTTATATTTTTAAAAATGAATATGAATTGCCAATAACCAATTGTATATTTTTATGTGAGATTTTAAGAAGTTAGCTATAGCTTATTAGCATAAACAAACAAAAGAGATGCATCTGTGAGTTCTCATGATGGATCTACTTCCTCATCTGTGTTATTTTAGTTTGTGTTTTTGCTTTGGTCCCAGGAAGGACTAAATAATTATCTTAACTTCAGTTTTAAAGCACATTGTACCCAACATGGTTGATGTGTGCTTTCAGCCTTGGATCAGTGGGGTTAGTTAATGAAAAATTCCAAACTTGGATATTTTAAACATGCTCATGACACGTGATCAGCTAAATGGAAAACTAAATAGGTTTAATGAACTTACTAGTTTTCGTTCTTTGGTGTTATTGGTAAAAGTGGCACCGAATTGTACCTTATGTTGCTCGTCACCTTTTAATTCTGATTTACTCTGGTTTCAGGGCTTGTTTGTTTGTTTGTTTTAGGAAATGAACAGAAAAAAAGCCAGAGTTTTTATTTGGTGGGCAGAGGGAAGACTTTGGTGAGGGCTTAAATTGTAATTGCTTATTGTTGAAAGGGAAGTATCCTGTCTTCTAATGTTATTTTTTAACATCATTACATTTGTCATTAACAAAATCTTACGCTGTTTAGTGAAGTCGTTGTTAGTTTAATAGAGGGGTGTAATAACCTTTGTCTCTGAATTAAACTTTTCCAAATAAAATGTGAGGGATTAGGCAAAAAAAAAAAAAAAAGCACAAAAACCCTCTTAAACATAACAGTATGGTGATTGCGGGGGGGAGTCGGGGGACAGGTAGAAGAGGGCCGGGCAGAAATGTGAGTGATCGTGCTCTTGTCACCGTAGCCTTTGACTAGTTAGAATCCTTGTGTTGTAAATGACCTTAGGCATCATATAATCCAACCTTTTCTTGTTGTTTTTAGATTTATCTTTGTATACACATACATTACAAAATATTTAAAAACTAAATCTAATTATTTTTGGATGTTATCCTTTAAACTTTTAAGAAAGAACAAAGAGTCCCTCTGGGATAGCATATTTTAAAACATTTTTATTGTAATTTTTTCAAAGTTCTTTATGCTAAAATAAGTGTTGCATTTTCCCATTAATGTGGAGGAATTTTATTTTTTTCTACCCCTAAAATAGTTAGGAATCATGTGTGTAAATTTTCTTTTTTACGTATTAAGCTGTTTGGGAAAATATCACAGTAAGTCTCCTAAGAAGATGCCAGTGAAGCTTCCTATTAAATCAGAATGAGCCTGGGTGATTTCCCCACTTCCTTGTTAAGGTCTTCTATTTCAAAAGTCAGTTAGTTAGAAATGTTCCTGGAGGTGCTGGTCATAGTAACCAAAATCTAGAAACAACTCACTGTAAAGTATAAATAAATAGTGGTGTAGTCAAACACTGGAATATGGTACAAAGTGGGAAGTATTAATTTTAGGACAAATTAATATTGCAATAACAATATGGATTAATCCAGAAACACAATGTTGAGTGAAAGATGCCAGATATTAGATGTATATATTGTATGGTTGTATTTATATAAAGTTCCGAGGTGGGCAGTATTAGTCTAAGCTGTTAGGAGTTGGGATCTCTGTCCCGGTGGGAGAGAGAAGTAGCTGGAGGGGAACCCATCAAGTGTGTAGTGTTCTGATATGTGATTTTGTGATTTGAGTTTCATTACAAGTGTATTTAATTTGTAGAGATTCATAGAGTTTGTGCACTTTTTTTGTCTGTATGTTATATTTCAATAAAAACAGTATCATTGAAAAATCAAGAGTTTCTGTTGAATGAAAAATAATGTGTTACTATATGTTTATTAGTTGGAGATGAAGGACCAAGAGCCAGGAAGAACAGACAGGAGGCATTTCCAACGCTGGAGACTGTGTTCACAAAACTTCAGCTCCTTTCGTATTTTGATCAGCATCAAGTAACATCTCAGGTAGCCATTTAAAGCTGTTTATTATACATTTGGGATATTCATATTTCCTTAAAAGTCTCCTATGTAGTATATGTTTCTGGCCTTAGTTGGTTTTATAAATATGCTTTTAAAACATATTTGGAAGCATCTCCAACTATTGAGTAGCTCAGTTTTAAGGGTCAGGTTGTCTTCCTCAGAAGAATTAATTTTTATTTTGAAAATATTTTACCTTATGGTAATAATCAACATTATGTAAAATATCTCTAATGTAATGCTCATGTTTTTACACCATGGTCCTACATTGCTATTAATAAGGGAGAAATCTGTTCATGATAAATAAAGTACAGTTGAGAAGAAACCAACTCTGTTTTATTTTATAAATCCATTGATATTCAAATAGGAATTATCTGGAAATTAATTAATACTTCAAGTCATCATGGGTCTAGATCTTATGATGACTTGGCTTATTTCTTCAGTTATAGTTGCAGTAAGGAAGTCAATTTGTACATGGTTTGGGTTTCTGTAGAAATAGGTTTTAACTGTCTTATAAGTAGAATCGCATATAAATTCAAATTTCTTAATAAATAAAAATCATTTGGATATTGGCCTTATCATTATTTTCACCTTTTTGGCACAGATCTCTAACAATGTGCTGGAGCAGATCACAAGCTTTGCGTCCGGGACTTCCTATCACCTCCCTTTAGCTCACCATATTCAGCTCATCTTCGACCTCATGGAGCCAGCACTGAACATCAATGGGCTAATTGACTTCTCAATACAGGTGTCAAAGAGACCCTGCTTCTCTCATTTTAGGAAAGAAAATGTACCAGGCATTGTCCAATTAAAAATGAGCCACCCAGTGCATTTTTTAATAATTGAGACATTCTGAATCAACTGTATTCAAATAGCTTTTTAATTGCAGCTTTGTTCATAGTTTTCAGTTAAATAATTATAATACTGTGCTAAAATATATACTAGTAATAGTCATTAAAAAATGGGAATGTTTTGAGGGTATTTTTTTGTCTTTTTATTACTTTGAGAAAGATGAAAGGTTGTTTGCGGTTTATAATAGAGTATATTTTAGGTTAAGAGCAAAACAATAGAACCTTATAATTTGATTTGCCCTGCTATATTTCATATATATATATATATATATATATATATATATATATATATACACACTTGAGTATATTTCTTATGTTGTTAGTAAATAGAAATGAAAGTTGGTTTCTATTGCTTATTCTCTTAATAATCTCTGTTTGTTTTATTAAAAAGAAGGGGAAAAGGAGAAAAAAGTGAGAGGTGGAATGTTCTCTGAAATTATTCAGTCTAGAGCTTTAGCTTTGGGCTGCCATAAAGTGTTGGTAACTACTTTAGTATTGGATACTTTCTAACTGCATGTACCTTGGTGTCTACATAAAAGAAAAACTCCATAATTTGGTAAAGGATAAAAAATGAAAATCATTGTAATTCACTGGGTGTGTTTTTCTGAGACAGATTATGTATATGTATATGGCCCTGGGGCAGGATAAGGGTCGAGATAAAAGTATTACTAGAATGACTCAATACATGCATGGTTTTTAAAAATAAATGCTTTCCTATGTGCTTTGGCAGCTACATTTTCATCTGATCTTTTCTCTCATTGTAGTTACTAAATGAACTGAGTGTTGTGGAAGCCGAACTGCTCCTGAAATCCTCCAGCCTCGCAGGCAGCTACACCACGGGCCTCTGTGTCTGCATCGTGGCTGTTCTCAGGCGCTACCACAGCTGTCTGATCCTGAACCCGGAGCAAACAGCCCAGGTGTTTGAAGGGTTGGTATATTAAGTATCATTACTGTTTCACATCGTATAATGTATAATTGTGATGAAATATTATAGTATTATAATATTATCTAATCTAATAAAAGACAAACATGCAAATTGACCGTACCTTCCCTACGCCTTAAACCACACCCACCAGCCAATCAGAGCGACTATATGCAAATTAACCCAACCAAGATGGTGGCCGGCAGCCACGGAGCTGGAGTGAGCAGGAGGCTTGGTTGCTCCAGTGATGGATGAAGCCAAGCTTCCTGCCTGCCGCGGCCAGCTCTGAGCTCCACTCAAGGCAACAAAGTTTCAATTATAGAAGATAAATAAATCCCAGAATAAAAAAAAAAAAAGAAAAAAAGAAGAGGCTGGGAGCTTCCATCGCCGGGGGGCTTGGCCAGCCTGAAAACGGCCATCAGCCCCTCACCCAGACTGGCCAGGCAACCCAGTGGGGACCCCCCCACCCTAAAGGGGGTGTGGCCAGCCTGAAAATAGCCATCAGCCCCTCACGCAGGCTGGCCAAACTTCCATGGGGTGAGGGTCTCCACTGAGGGGGACTTGACCAGCCTGCAAACAGCCATCAGCCCCTCACCCAGGCTGGCCAGGCACCCCATTGGGGACCCCCACCCTGAAGGGGGTGTGACCAGCCTGCAAACAGCCATCAGCCCCTCACCCAGGCTGACCAGGCACCCCAGCGAGACCCCCACCCTGATCCGGGACACCCTTCAGGGCAAACCAGCCGGCCCCCACCCATGCACCAGGCCGCTATCCTATATAATAACAGGGTAATATGCAAACTGACCCTAACAGCAGAACGACTGGGAATGACTGGTCACTATGACACACACTGACCACCAGGGGGCAGACGCTCAATGCAGGAGCTGCCCCCTGGTGGTCAGTGCTCTCCCACAGGGGGAGCTCTGCTCAGCCACAAGCCAGGCTGACGGCTGCCAGTACAGTGGTGGTGGTGGGAGCCTCTCCTGCCTCCTCAGCAGCGCTAAGGATGTCTAACTGCAGGTTAGGCCTGCACCCCCCTTGCAAGTGGCCATCCCCCAAGGGCTCCCGCGCTGCCAGAGGGATGTCTGATTGCCAGCTTAGGCCCGATCCCCTGGGGATCGGGCCTAAGCCAGCAGGTGGTCATCCCCCGAGGAGTCCCAGACTGCGACAGGGCACAGGCCGTGCTGAGAGACCCCCCCCCCCATCGAGTGCACAAATTTTTGTGCACCGGGCCTCTAGTAGTATAATATTACTAGAGGCCCGGTGCACAACATTTGTGCACTGGGGGGGATGTTGTACATGGGGGGGGGCGGGATTCCTCAGCCCCGCCTGTGCCCTTTCGCAGTCCGGAAGCCCTCAGGGGCTGTCCGACTGACAACTTAGGCCTGCTCCCCATGGAGAGCAGGACTAAGCCGTCAGTCGGACATCCTTAGCGCTGCAGTGGAGGCGGGAGAAGCTCCCGCCACTGCCACTGTGCTAGCCAGCTATCAGCCCAGCTTCTGGTGCACTCCCACAAGGAGAGTGCACTGACCACCAGGGGGCAACTCCTGCATTGAGTGTCTTGCCCCCTGGTGGTCAGTGTGTGTCATAGCAACCAGTCATTTGCTGTTCGGTCGATTTGCATATCAGCCTTTCATTATATAGGATAGTATAGTATAGTAGAGAAAAATAGTATTGATATTTATTTCAATAAAGAGATATAACATAGTTAAAGAATACTTTTGTAAGAAAACATGTACCAAAGAAAAGTTATAAGAATGAAAAAGTATTTTCTTTTTTTAAAATGTGTGATTCCTTTCTCCCCTTTCTCTTTTCCTTTCTCTTTACCATCCTGCCTTACTTCCCTCCCCTGGTTTCTACAAATACAAGCCTGTCATTTATAGCACTCTGTCATCTGCCCTACCCAGTATCGTGGGTAATTATGAATGGCACACATGTGACAACTTTTTTGTTCATGTAATTTCAGTTTATATTTGGAGAATCCAACACTGAATAAGCTTTGCATGCATTGTCATTTTAGAGATTTACTTCTTTAACTTCATTGTTTTAAATAAACTAAACCTATCTTTTGATAAGATAATCGAAACAGTGACTTTCTTGATTCTTAGTCTTTTTTGGTTTGTGTGAATTGTAGTATGAGGTTTTCTCTACTACTACTAGTGGGTTAATAATTACCTAATACCATCCCCATTAGAGACTGAGGTTACAGGGACCTGGGTAGAATAATTAGCTCTCAAAAAACCCTATACTGTGCTCCTTTTTGTCCACCGAAGACTCACTCCTTTCCCAGGCTTTTATATAAAAAAAGAAAACCTGTTTTTCTTTTTCTTCCATTTTCCTCCTGGGTTCAAAAGAAACATGGGGGTCTTTGGTTCTATAGTACTCTTTTTTTGTGATCTAATACATGTAATCAATTTATACTCTATTCAAGAGTAACATCCATTTAACAGCAGCTCTCTCAGGGAAAAGGAAGTGCTATCACATTAATTATGCATGAAGATTATTAAGTGAAATCTGAAATATCCAAGATAGTTTCACATGTGAAAAAATTAACATGTTAGAATTCAGGAAATATAGGACTGTTTAATATGGCCCTCAACTACCCTGTGAAGTTGAATAATTAATACCACTTTACAAGTGAAGAGACTGGAACTCAGGCTTGTTAAAGGAAGTGGTTGGCGAAGGGATATACCCAGCATCACATCACTAAATCTCCCAGGCTGCTGAAAGTCTTTCGAACTAGGAGCTCACTCATGCTGTCTAATCTACACCATGCTTTTTAAACTGCATGAAACCCATTAGTTGGTCATTAAATGAATATAATAGATTTTTGACAAGCATATTTTTTATTTTTGTTTATTTTGAAATTCATTTCAGTATTTATTTTGACATTTTAAATTTATTTTATAAAATGTTCATAAAATTATATTTAATATTAACTTTATTATATTTTTACTTTATCGTACATAGTAAGGGTATTTTACCCAAAATTATTATTTTTTTTTCTGTACTTATATGAATGGATATACTGGATCTCAGTGTAAAATGTTTTTCTTTCCAATGGCAAGTGAAAAAAAAATGAGGAAAACATTGATTACAAACATTGACTGTTATACTCCCAATAAATGTTTATTTACAAAATAATTCTTTGCTTTTTGGGTTATATTTGGAATTTTTTGTTTATATAGTTAACTGTTGATTGAATCTGTTTTCCATAATTATGTGACTCTTTTGCTATAATTGACAGCTTATATCTGCTGCCCACTGGCCCCGTTTGCTGATGCCATTTCATAGAGTTTGGAATGCTATATTGCCATTTCCTCTTGTACTTTCCTGAGTTCCACATCTGGTATTTGTGATTCCTTCTTGGCCTAAGTATCCTAGGCTCCCTCTGGCTTCACCCTGTTCTCTAAATAGTGGAGTGAACTGTGGCTTGGGAATATGGAGACCTAAGCTCTCTTGGATCTGCTGTGAACTCGCTCTTAGCCTATGAGCAGGTTACTTTACTTTTCTGAGCCTTAGAGCCCTCTTTGTAAAATGAGGAAGATGAGTCAGTTCATTTGTAAAGCCCATTTGAGCTTTAATAACCTGAACCATCACGCTATCATAGGCTGAACCCTTTAACAGAATGCAAGTGGTGGTGGCATCAGATTCACGAAGAGGGGGCTGGACCACTTTTTTATCTCTGTGTTATATGAACTTTTGTGTTGTATGAACTGGGGTGAAAGAGGCCATAGTTAGGATTTGGGGAAATGGCACAGATTGCAGCAGCAGTGGTACTTTGAACTGAAAGACTTCAGGGAATGTTTCTAAGGGGAAGGGGATTTGGTTCTTATATGAGATAAACTAATGTAAATTTGTTTCTAGTTTGGAGAAACAAGGGAAATGTGACCTCTAACTGTGAATTCACCAGGTTCGTGTGAGCACCAGCTCATGGTTTAAAAATGGATTTCCCAGATTTACTGATTAAGAATTGTTCCTTAACAAAGAAGTAGATTTGGGGATCTTTGAAAATTCACTGAATTAGTGAATTTTTTTGCTGAGGAGAGATTCTCTACTTTAACATTCCTTTATGTTCTAGTCACAGCAACTTAATTGATAGATTCATTCATTTATACTTTCTGTATGGAGGAATTTCTATTTTTCTTGTTGTTAATGCCATTTTTGAAGTTTTCTAAAAAAAATCTAGTATTTTAATATTATAATAAGCTGATATTTTTCTTAATTATTTACTACTGTTATAATGATTAGTGTCAACAATCTAATACTTTTTTATACAAGTAATAAATGGACATATTCTCTAAAAAATTTAAACAGTAGCTTATGTATTAGCAACATGTATATCTCACTCCTCACATGCTGTCTCCTCAGGCTGTGTAGTGTGGTAAAGCATGTTGTGAATCCCTCAGAGTGCTCTTCTCCTGAGAGATGCATCTTAGCCTACCTCTATGATCTCTACGTGTCATGTAGCCACCTCAGAAGTAAATTTGGAGACCTCTTCAGGTGGGTAGAAGAAAATCAAAAGAATAAGGGTAGGGTTATATCTCTATTTATTAGTGACTAGACCAATATTGTCATCCTTTTTAATAGTGAAAGTTAGTCATAATTATATCTGCCAGAATTCATATTGAGTTACCTTTCATTGTATCTATAACCTTATTACAAATGCGTGTTTAACTGTGATTGCGATTTTGAGATAAACTTGTGATACAATATTTTATATTTTGCACTTGCTGTTACCTCACTGGGAACATTGTTTCCCACTTTTGTGTGCACTCACTTTCTCACTTTGTTTCTCTGCTTCCATTATCATCCTGTTTGAAACAGCATCCCTGACTCCCTTTCATTCTCTGCATCTTAGCACTTGCTACCACCACAGGTACACAGATGTTGGAAAATACATACTTATTTAATGTTATTTCGAGGAAACTCGGATTATTAATTATAGGAGACAGTCATAACTGGCAAAATAAATTTAGAATCTAGAAGGAGGTAAGGAAAGCACGATCAGTTACGGTTTTCTCTGCTCCATATTTTGCACCCATTTGTTTGTAAATCCTATGAGCTAGCTCTACCTTCCAGGTATAGTACCGAGAATCTGACTCCTCTTCATTGCTCTGTCACGACCACCATGGTCATCTCCTGGTTAGACCATTGTGTAGCTCTTCTCACTGGTTTCCCCTCTTGCCTCCTTGACTCTCTTGAGCATATTATCAACACATCTACTAAAATCATCCTTTTAAAACAAGAACAATAAAGTTTTCCAATGGCTTCTCATCTATTCAGAATAAAAACCTCTGAAGTCATTACCTAGCCTTTAGGACCTACTGGATCTGATTTTCTCTTCTGCCTTTTCCCCCTTGTTCCATTCTGACTATGTGCACCTCCTTCCTGGTCTTCAGACACTCTGAGCAACCATTGTAGGGCATTTGCACTTGCTATTACCTCTCTTGTGTTTTCCCTAGTTGCATGCTCACGTCCACAGTTCATTCACAGCTTTCCTCCCAACCACCCCTTTTATTTATTTATTTATTTGTTTGTTTTAAAATATATTTTTATTGATTTCAGAGAGTAAGGGAGAGGGAGAGAGAAATATCAATGATGAGAGAGAATCATTGATTGGCTGCCTCCTGCACGCCCCCAACTGGGGATCAAGCCTGCAATCAGGGCATGTGCCCTTGACCGGAATCGAACCTGGGACCCTTCAGTCCGCAGGCCAACGTTCTATCCACTGAGCCAAACCAAGTAGGGCCCAACCACTGCATTTTAAATAGCATACCCCTCTGCCTACACTGTCATTCTTTGACCTTAGCACTAACCCTGGCACATTGCATATTTATTTATCATCTCTCTCCTTCCTAGAATGTAAGCTTACCAACAGTAGAAAGTTTTTCTGTTTTATTCGCTGCTATGCCCCAGTACCTGGAAGAGTGTCTGGCACATAGGAAGCACTAAAAAAATGTCTGTTAAATAAAAGATATATACAAAAATATCATGAAACTTTTCATGGTATCAATAGGGAAAAATGTGAAAGTATGTCTCCATGAATGGTTAGGTTTCAAAATAATCCCTTACAGGGATGCTGTTTGAGTGAATCTGATGAAACATCTTTTCACAGAAATTATGTAAGAGCAGTAATAACCTGTGTCCTGCTGCTTTTTCACACAGAGCTTTCAGTTGGCAGTTTTTAGAGAGCTTTCTCATACGTGATTCACTTGAGGCAACAGCCCTGTTCTTAATAGTGAACTTCCAAGAAAGCTCCAGGAGCCCTAACGCTCCTGCCGGGCAGTGTAAATGAGTTCATTCCAGTCTTGTAACCTGGGTGCGTGGAGATCAGGAGACCAGCTTGCACTGAGGGCTGCTCGGGATCAGCACAGGGGTGCCCCACAGCTGTGACACTGGCTGAGGTTCCCTTGATTAAGAAGTGGCAGAGAAACAGTTGTCCCAGGAAACCTGGAAGTCAGACATTATTTGCAGTTTGGGATTAAGAAATATGGCCCAACAAAAGCTAGATATGCAGAGAGATTTCTGTTAATATACTAATAAACCAGTTTTAATAATTGGATCTGAAGCACCATCTATAAAGTTGTGGAAGAGAAATATTTGGGGGACATATTCACACCTACCACTGATTGAGCTGCTGCTTGTGCCAAGCACGGCACTGGGCTATTTCCATCAAGATCCTTACTCCACTCAACAACCCCAGGAAGTTTAAATGATGTTCCTATCACCAAATGATTGTTCCTCATCCTAATTAATAAATGATGAAACTTAGACTTGAACATAAGTAATTTTGGCCTCCAGGTGTGTGTTGCTTTCATCACTCTATCGGAGTCTATCGGGTTTTTTGATACAGGCAATTTCAGAAGGGAAATACCTAGGTTATTTCCTTAAATCCATATATGCCTGCACAGAGAGTGGTAAGAATCTGAGAGTGACCGAGGTAGCAGCTGACTTTTTAATAAAACATAGACGCTCACCTGGAAAGAGTCTAATAAATGAAATAGGAAGCCTAGAAATGGAGGGCGAGGAGACTTTCCCATGAGCCATAGAGTTCAGAAAAAGTGAGCATTCCTGGCTGGAGGTCGGCAGAATTCTTTTGTTTCTAAAGGCAGGAATGAATAGCATGTTAGAATTAAGTGGGAGGCTGAATAAAATAGACAATGCTTCACTACTTGCAGAAGACTGTTTCCTCCAACACTCAGTGAATTGGGAGGTGGAGGAAACCAAGGATGTGGTGTTAGGGAGGGAATCAGCAACGAGCTGATTTTATTTCATCTTTAGTGGGAAAATGAAATGAATTAGGAACTATTGCTAAGTGAGAATGAAAGAAAAGTTAAGTAGAAAGTTGGCAAGAGTTTTTAAGTCAGAAACTGGAGATTTTAAAAGCCCTGAAGACTGTATAGCATCCATCATTTTGAGCAGGTCATAACTCTAGATGGTAAATGTGCATCCTTCAGTGACCACTGAGGAGTTTTTACATAATTTACCTGGAAAGAAAGATAGTGTAGATCACAATTACTGCCATTTAGTGGGTAGGTTTAGTCCTCTCTAATGGACCAGTGCTTCCCAAGCACTTTTGGCACCTGGATTTACCTGGAACAGCATTTTAAACATACAGATTCAGTAAACCTACAGAGGTCCAGGAGTCTTTATGGTTAACAGACCACCCAGAGGTGATTCTGAAGGAGGAGGTTTTGGTAAACCACAAATTGAACAATCTCTGTTTTCTTAAAGCAGTTGGCAGTGGCAACAGTTTAGGGTAAAGAGTGTTATTTGTATGCCTTTTCATTTTTAAAGCAATCATTTCTGGGTACTATTTATGTAGGTGTATAACACTAGGGGTAAAAAGCCATATGTTGCCTTCATCACAAATAAATTTGCTGCCAAAAAGTTAATCTAAAAGAAAAAGATTCTCTGCTGCATAAGAGAGCTCCTGAATAGAGGTGGATGCTGCTTGTGAACTCATGTCCACAGCAATAGGAAGGAATAGCTGAGTATACATGGGATCTGAGCTTTGAAATCAGATTGTCCCTCAGCTCCATCTGCAGAGCCAGATTGGATCAGATACTTTCTAATTCCCTTTGTACTTCTAACATTCTATGTCATATTCAGATATAACTCACTGAAACATACTCTGTTTTCATGATAAGCCAGCCTCTTAAAAATCTCTTAATCATGCTACAAGACAGAACATGATAAACTTTTAGGAATAATAGTTTATTCACTCTTATTTAATTTGTGTATCATCCATTTCCCCCAACTGGAATGCAAGCTCCTGGAGGGCAGGGAATGAGCCTCTCTTTCACAGCTCTGACCACTTGACCTCTGCTGGATACCCTGTACCTAGAGGAATAGTTTTGCAGGATATGTAATTACTACTAAGCCCTGAATTATTCCTGATGTTTAGTCTAACCTATTTTTATTCTTAAGTAATAACACTTTGCAACTACTGTTTAGAGATAGTTGTTGAAAGCCTTAGTAAATTCTTTTATTTTTGAAACATAAAATGTAGAAAAAATTAGAAAATAATTAAGATTAGTAACCAAGTTCTTATTCTTGTTTTGTTCTTCACAACCCATTCAGCAACTATTTATTGACCAACGAATACATTCCAGGCACTGTGTTCAGTGCTGATTATTAAGAAATTGGAATCAAGAACTCAATGTGACTCTTTTATAAGAATACATTACAATTGCTACCATTTAATCTGTCCTTAAATTAACTAACTTTCTAGTTATTCTAGTGTTTTTTTTTCTTAACTCTTCTTCTTGTAACCTCAGTAGTGCCTGTTCAAAAGTTAAGCAGACCATATATAATAATGTGATACCTGCTAATTCTAACTTGCGATGGGATCCGGACTTCATGATGGATTTTATTGAGAATCCTTCAGCTTGTAGCATCAACTACTCTATGCTAGGCAAGATCCTCAGTGACAATGCGGCCAATCGCTACAGCTTCGTCTGCAATACACTCATGAATGTATGTATGGGCCATCAGGACGCTGGAAGGTGAGCTGAGTTACCCTGAAATTTGTGACTAACCACAGTTGTTGCTTTGGTGCTACTTTGAAATTAACTTCCTTAGTAATTGCCTAGGCTGACAGTTGAATGTTGTTTTCTCTCTTTTTTTTGTATATTATTTTATCTGCTCTGTACTATGATTTCCTTAACCCAAGAGACAAAAACATATACAAGAAAAAATACAAATAAAAATTGTCTATATTTTAAAAATACTGTATTTAGGCCTACCTAAATTACATAGTTTCTAAAAAAAAAAATTTATGTTCTTAAAAGGTCATTGTATAGGTTAAGTTTTTTCACAGAGTAATTGACATCTGTAATGGTTATTGTTTGTTGTTTACCAGCATTAAAAACAGAAAACATTTAAAGCCATTCACTTTTATCTTCTCCGGATTCTACTAGGTTATTTGTCAAGTGGGTATTTATTATATCCTTGACTATAAGAAATGAATGACTTGTTTATGGTAGTGAAATATGTGTTCTTAAGTATGTCACATGCAGTATTTCTTTTTTGTTACTTTATACTGTGTCTGTTCTTTTTCTTCTTTCTAGGATTAATGACATAGCCAATTTCTCCTCCGAGCTGACAGCATGCTGCACTGTTCTTAGTTCAGAGTGGCTGGGAGTTCTGAAGGCTCTCTGCTGTTCTTCCAATCACGTGTGGGGGTTCAATGATGTACTTTGCACAGTAGATGTAAGTGTTCTTTTTCACTTAAAAACTCAACTGCAATTAAATATTTAGTTAGTGAGCAATATTTTTTAATTGACTCAACCCTTAACTGAAATATAAAATTTTTTTCCTTTTCTCACTTTAAGCAGTATACCAGAGTGTGGTTGGTGCTGTGTTGCATGAGAATGTCCAGGCTCAGATTCATTGGGGCATCCAGTCTTTCTTAGTGATTGTGTCTGGAAGTGATGAAAATATACCCATTTATATCACAGATTTCCTAGAATATCATATGCATGATATGTGAATTTCTTAAAAATCCATCTTAATTCTTTACCTATTTTTGCCTATCACTTCTTGGTGTGATCTTTTGTATGTTAATATATCGTACATATAGAACAATTTTATACATTTAAAAAAAATACCTCCCAGTTGAAGTTGAACTTCCTAGTTCTGATATCTCAAGTCTGGGTTGGACAGTCCTACTCCATTCTGTGTCTCGCTAAGATTTTAGGCATGTCAAACTCCTACCTGTGGCCTGCTTTTCTAGACAGGAAAGACACATATTTTTATCTTTAACATTGTTCCTTAACCTCTTAGTTGTTTTTGTTATACTTTACCTCTAGTTAGTTCACTCATCTATAAAATTGGAATTAACAGTAGTATGAACCTCATGGTGTTGTGCAGTTAAATGAGGTGACTTTTTGTAGATTGCTACCCACACTCCCTGGCATATACTACAACTTAATATTAAGGTTGCTATTATAGCTTTTTAAATTGTTATTATTATTTTCTGCCAAAGTCTTGTGAAATCTGTAAAGGTAGAGGTTATATTATGAATGAAATAACTTTTCTTCCTCTTTTCTCTCCTTTTAAAATTTAGGAGTCAATTGTAAATTTTCAGAGTTATTTTTAAAACTAATTTACTTATATTAAAGACTCATTACTTTGTTATCCCTGAATAGAACCCCAAACCATTACTGAGGCTTGTGTTTTAACTAGGGCAACCTCCAGGTTTTTCCTTGCTTATTAATGGCTACCCTTAAATGACAGATCCTACTGAATTTTGCAGAAAAGTTGTATTTTTGCTACATCTTTTAGGGATTTCTTGATTTTTTTTTTCTGATTTTTTTTTTTCAATTATTTGTACTCAAGATGAAGCCCAGTGTCTTCTTACAGCACTGGGATGTGGGTAAACCTCATTTGTTGTCTTATAAAGTAGAAATAGGCCTAGAGGAGAATACTCATGCTACGTTTCATTCACTCATTTGAGGATCTGAAACCTCATTGGTGTTGCCTACATTCTCTTAGATATTAATCTTAGCTGTTACTGAAGAGGGTGTTAGGTATTAAAACGTGTCAATGTTTTTCTTGAAGGTGAGTGACCTTTCATTCCATGATTCACTAGCTACTTTCATTGCTATTCTGATAGCACGACAGTGTTTCTCCTTGGAGGACGTCGTGCAGCACGTGGCACTGCCCTCTCTCCTCGCGGCAGGTGAGGTGGCATCCGGGACAGCGTGGGCATGTGATGCTGGTCTTGGTGGGATGGTGTCTAACTAGTGAAACCCAGTGAGGGTAGTATTCAAGGGCACGTGCATTGGGCCGTGGTGTGGCCTGCAGGTAAAGATGGTAGAATTGTATATCTTGTTCTACCCAGAGCACTGTGACTCCCTGGATGTTGGTACCTGGTTTTGAGGAAGCACGTACATTCGAGTTTCTCAGGAAAATGTAGCTGGTGTCTTACTTTTTACCATAAGTAGCATGTTTTCACATTATTCCAGAAAGTTTAGCTTAATAGCAAGCCTGGAGACATGTTCTTGAACATGTGAGGAAACTTGCTTTGGAAATCCTTCTTCCCCAGCTTGTGGAGACGCGGATGCCGAGCCCGGGGCCAGGATGACCTGCCGCCTCCTGCTCCATCTCTTCCGAGCCCCCCAGGCCTGCTTATTACCTCAAGCAGCCGGTGAGCTGATAGCCCCAAACCTCTGATTATGTTTTCATTTGCAGCTCCAGGTTCTCAAATGACCAAGTAGGCTGTTCATTCTGTAATTTCCTTCCTGACTTTGGGGGGCCTGCTTGAGGGTGATGAAGGGGTGCAATGATGCCACTGAGAGGGCTGTCAACACCTTTCATTTATGTAATATCAGGATGTGTTGAGAAACTCAAATCCAGAGTTAATAAACAATAAAAATACTTTTGCTCTTAGGCCAGCCATGCTGGTGGGCAGAGTGATCCTCTAACATACTATGCATGTTAGTTGTGAACCACAGCATAGCAGCTTAGGACAGTGATTCATTTATGTTTTTACTAAAGGGAAAACATCTAGGGATGCTGGTAAAATCTGTTCCTAAAGATAATTTCCATGTTAGGGTGTGTGTGTGTGTGTGTGTGTGTGTGGAGAGAGAGAGAGAGAGAGAGAGAGAGAGAGAGAGAGAGAGAGAGAAGAGAGAGACCATCAGCATAAATGGATGAAAATCCTAATGTTTTTGACACATCTCTCTAAGGAGCAAAGACATTATTATTTTAATAGTAAAAAAAGAAACAGTTAAGTACAGGGTGCTGGCAATGTTTCTTAGTGAATTCATGAAGCATCAATTAAAGCTAGCTAATGGCAATTAAGCGCCCACAGTCTAACAGTGAAAAGCCCTATGACTGTAAATGGTTACAAAACACTGTTAATAATGGTGATGAGACGATGAAAGGCTTGTTCTTTGTTCTCATAGGCAAAACTTTCCCTGGAATAAGATCATCTTGTGATAGACACCTTTTAGCTGCTGCTCACAACAGCATCGAAGTGGGAGCAGTGTTTGCTGTTTTAAAAGCAATTATGATGCTTGGTAAGACTATCTTGGCACTAAGCTTGGTTAATCACCAGAAGTTTAATTCGATTTAATAGTAATAGAAATGTTTTGTTGTTGTTGTTGTTGTTGCTGCTGTTGTTGTTGGCTTTCCCCAAGTCCAAGTCCAGTTGTACTCCCAGAAGTCTGTCCCTTACCTACAACACTGGTGGAATTTAAATATATTTTTTGGTGGGGTTTTAACTGCATGCTATCTCATTCTGATGTAATACAGATCCTCAGACCTCCTAGCTTGTGTTGCCTTCATTTGTTGGCATAAGTCACACTTTGTGATGGACACAGAAAACTTGATGACCTAGTCAAAGGTTTAAATCCCACGTTATATTCTAGGAGTAAATCACCAGAAAACCTGGGTTTCAATCATAGTGTTTCTGCTTCCACTGTAACCCTGAACAAGTTTATAACCCTGTACCATAGTTTTTTCATCAATCAGGTGATAATTGCATTGAGATTGATATTACTGATAAATCAGTATTACATAGCATAATCCTATCTAATAAAAGACAAAAAGGGTAATTAACCGTACCTCCGCTACGCTTCCCATTGGCCAATCAGGGCGATATGCAAATTAACTGCCTAGAAAGATGGCGGTTCACCGCCAACAAAGATGGCGGTTAATTGGATACACGCAGTGATGGGAGGCGAAAGGGGAAAGATGGAAGAACGGTGATCAGAAACCCAGGCGGCAGGCAAGAGCTGGGGGGGCAGGCAAAGGCCGCCTTTGCCCGCCCCCCAGCCAGTGATCGCCATCGGAAAGCCGGGCAGCAGGCCAGGCGGCACCCCCTGACCGGGGTGCCGGCTGGCCTGCGGTCCATGATCCCCATGGCGATCGGAGGGAGAGAGAGCCGGGGCACAGGCCAGGTGGTAACCCCGGATCCCTGGGGGCGGGGTTGCCGGCTGGCCTGCGGCCCCATGATCCCCATTGAGATCGGAGGGAGAGAGAGCCAGGGCGCAGGCCAGGCGGCACCCGGGGACCCCAGCATCTGACATGCAAAGGTCGGGGATGAAATGACTTTTCCCAACCACATCTGCAAATATCCTGGGGAAGGCATCACTGAAGAGTTCACAACTCTCTTACTTGGCAAGGAAGAAAAAAGTTGGCAACGGAAACAATCCCTTACATCAAAGTTAAGGTCCCTCTGGGTAAAAGAGAATATTTCCAACGTAAAGGAGGGAGCAGGCAAAAATAATAGGTTCTCATGACTTCCACTGAAGATTGACCATATGACAGAGTCAAAACGAACATACAAATTAAAACAGACAGTGGACATTCAAATGACCTGAATCAACTGTCACTGTTTGTCCTAATAGCAGCAATGCTTATGTGATAATATAGTTTAACAAACATACAAAACAAGTCACATGATAAGAGAGGTTCGGCTTCTAAAGTAAATTGAATATGTTCTTTTAAAATTCTAATGTCCTTCCCTCTGACTATAATTCTTAAATTTCCAATCAGAAAATTACCCCAGGTAATCCAGTAACATGTAGAACTCCAGTAACCTAACTTATTTAAAAAAACAAACATCCAAACCATTTTTAAAATATTTAAATTGATATTTTAGGGTTAAAATTATAGAAGATATTTAGATCCAAATATATTTTCTGAATAGAAAATATTTCAGTTTTTGATTAAAAAAAAAACATAAAAAAATATATAAGTGATACATTTTCCCAAGGAACTCTGAATTAGTACCTTTCCCTCTAACTTTCTTCAAATTAAGAGAATCTATGGAGTTCCCTATACTGCACAAGTTTTAATGAAAGAAAATAAGACTTTCTAAGAGCATCAAATACATGTTTTCTTATTTACAAACATATACACTCTTCTCTCTCTCTCTCTCTCTCTCTCTCTCTCTCTCTCTCTCTCTCTTTAAAATATATTCTTACTGATTCAGAGAGGAAGGGAGAGGGAGAGAGATAGAAACATCAATGATGAGAGAGAATCATTGATCGGCTGCCTCCTACACACCCCGTACTGGGGATCAGGCCAAAACCTGGGCATGTGGCCTGACCTGGAATCAAACTGTGACTTCCTGGTTCATAGGTCGATGCTAAACCACTGAGTCACACCCGCTGGGCTCAATTCTTATTTATAAATTCATTCCAAGGACATACAGCTTGAAAAGCTTTGGAAGCAGTTTCAAAAAAAACTAGCCTTTAAGTAACAAGAAAACAGTTATAGAAGAAAGTTTAAATTAAAAGAAAAAAATTGTTTTAATTTATTCAATTGTGGGAACATCCTCCATGAAAATGTGTACCTTGATTGTGGATGGCTGGGTGGCCTTATCACACCTTAGGAATTCAAATGCTTTTACAATGACAAGAAAGAGAGTTTCATCTCATTTCTCTCCCAGGGTAGATGTCTGTCAAAAGAAGGTGGACATCAATAAAAGGAGGGGCGTGCACAATCAATCCAGAAAGTCAGCAATCTATGAATAATCCAGAATCCAGTATTTATCTCCTCTGCCACACACCCTCCCTCCCAGCCAGTGAGCAAGATAATTACTCTCAAATCAAGCTAAGTGCCCCCCAGTCACAGTGGCCCAATGCTGACATCCAAAGCATACAAATAATTCTCACTCTGGCATAAAAGTGACAACTTTCTTGGAAGAAAAGCAGATACTGTAAATTTCTCAAAGTCTTCCTGAAACATTTTTTAAAGTAATTTTTACTTCTTTAGAAAAAATGCATACATGGCAAACCATCTATAATAAAAGGCCCATTGTATTAAATTTTACCTGGTCCTACTCATATCTGCAATCATAATCATATTTACAGACAAATATATCTATACTAATAAAAGAGTAATATGCTAATTAGACTGGGAGACCTTCCAGGAGACCTTCCAGATGTTCTTCTGGACAAAGCCATGGTGGCGGGGCCGAGGTAGAGGCGGTTATAGGCCACGAGGGGAGGGCAGTTGTGGGTGATCAGGCTGGTTGGGGGTGGGGGCCGTTTGTGGGTAAGCACACCAGCAGTCGGCCAGTTGGGAACCAAGCAGGCCATCAGTGGGGGTCAGTTGGAGTGATCAGA